ATAAAACTGATATAAAACTTGTTTTCTATCTTTCTACACAATAATATACAAAGCTTTAAAATCTATAGACTTATAAAAACAACTTAATTATACGTTATAGACAGGACATCTTTTAAATATACAAACTAACCAATTCGTGAATGTAAAATTTTTACTCAGGTAAATTTAGCGCAAATGGGCTGTTTGAAAAAACATACCTTTTTTATTTTGGTGCAAATGGGCTGTACGCAAGACAAATTTTTTTTTTGCGCAAATGAGTAACTCCCAAAATACATGTCATATAGCATTTAAATTGTAAAGTATTAAAAAATTAAAATTAAATTTAAGTGTTTAATTTGTCTATACATAGTTGTTGTTCATTATTTTATAACATATAGGTAGAGGTATATTATTAAATTATTCACATTGAACATCGTTATGTAATAAATTACTTAATACTTTTATTTCAATATATGAGAGAAAAAAATTTAAAATAAAAACATTAAGAGTTAATATTATATGAATATTCATGAGTTGAAATTCAAATTTTAAGTTAATTAGATTTAGCTTAGAATTTTTGAATTTATTAAATTAAATTAAATTGCTATTTGTATTTATAGATTAATATGTACAAAATATATAATTCATTAAATTACTATTAAAAATGAATGTATTTTAATATATAATTATTGTAATTTAAGTTTTAATTTAATTTAATTCTATATTCAAAAATACACTCTTAATTAAACTAAACATTATGATTTTCAATAAACATTATGCACATGCGTTTCAAATAATAGCTGAAAAAATAAAAACACATGATTCGGTGAAAGCGATAACAAAATTATTCAGTATTCACAGTATGTCGTGTTTTATAATTTTGACAGTTGACCATAACAATAACGACATCCAAATGAATTATTTGTCGAAATATTCCATACATAATCGGTAGGTTTTATATAAAAAAAAAATATTCCCTATCTTGATAATTTTTTTCTTTATTAATTGCACAACACAAAATTGCGTTGATGTAAAAACTGGACCATATAACAACACATAATACTATTATCGTTACGCAATAGCTTTAATTATATCTTAGTGGATATAGACGGTTATTATTTCCAAGGAACTTGACACCAATGACAACACTATATCAAGAATATTTTAATAAAAACATTTAATTAGTAAAGTTATATTGTTTCAGAGTAAATCTTGAAAAGTTAAACGGTGAAGGAACTATTCTTCTCCCGAATTTAATTGTTAATTGTACGTACGACATCGATGGTCGTTTAATGGTTGTTCCACTCCAAGGTCAAGGAATATTTAGAGGGAATATAAGTAAGTCGCTAAGGACATAAAATCATGTTATCATGTTAGTAAAATATATATGCAGTATTACAGCATATTCACAATTTCATATCGTGTTAAGAAACTAATGAATAATTATTATAATACCAAATATGTTGAACGGTCTATAACTATTATTGATTCGTTTATTAATTATTTATTAAAACATAATAAATTATATTCATTTGTTTGAACCGATATTTATTTATGTAATACAGGATTATTATAAGGATATAATCAGTTATTAATTAATATTTTATTCACAGCTAACACAAAAGCTGATGTCAAAGCTAGCCTTGAAGTATTAAAAGACAAAAAGAATCGTGAATACTTTCAGGTTAAAGATATTCGACTAAAACTCAAAGTCGGCGACGCAAATGGAAAAATAATACCCCAAAACAATAACAAAAATAATGATGTCATAAGTATGTTCTATATTATACTATGAATATTTTTTATTCAATAATTTAGTTCAACTGTATTTTTTGATTTTAATTTATAAATTGAAAAACAATTTTAATTCTTAAACCAATAATTATAAATACATCATACATAAGACGTGATAATTTATCGTGAAATTTAAATTTTATATAAAAAAAAAAAGTTGATTAAATAATTTATTATAAACTGTTTATATGTACCTATTTGAATGTTTTTAGCGGAAACTGCGTCAACGTTTTATCACCAGAACCGTCGAGTTGTTTTGGATATTATCACTCCAATCGCGGAAGAGATTACTGTCGAATTCGCATTGCAAATTGCCAATAATATATTGAAAACTATACTTTACGATGAAATTCTACCCAAAGAACTGCCTTGATGCGTGTATTATGTAACAATCGATTTTAATTTTTAAATTTAATATTTTTCGTAATTTATGTTCAATCATTCATTAATCATTTTCATATATTTCAGTGTACTATATTCATAAGTCATCTGTTATTAAATACATATATGATCATAAACATTTGTTAAATATTTTTTTATCGTAACTTTTTGTCATTGGGTGTAGTTAAATTCAAAATTATTAATAACGTAATATATGGCAAAGAATTAACTTTCCATGAATAATATATAGTTATAAATTATAACAAAATTTACTAATGTTGTTGTTTATCGTTTAAAAAAGTAATTTAGTCAAAATTTTACAGGTAAAACTCAAAAGAAAACTTATACTGAATTTTCATATTTAAGATATATACATATTAAAAATGTATGAATTTTAAACTAGAAAAAAGTGTACAAAATATTATAGTTTTTCTTTAAGTTATTGAACAACACTATTTTTGTTATTTATATTATTATTATTATTATTTAATTATTGATATGTTTTATTATACGATACAATTATTTAGAAAAAAAAACTATAAATAAATAAAAATGGAGTTGGTGCTGAGCAAATAACAACTGCAAAAATAATGTATGTCTATATGTATACTATATAAACATTATAAGTTGGGATATATATGTTGTCAATAATTATCATAGTACATTTTTAAATGTTCACACATATTATAAAAAGAAAAAATTTAGAAACATCAAGTTAATACAACATTCTACTTTAATTATTGTATTTAAACATAAACTTAAATATTTAATCGAATGTTCAGTAAATGTCATTTATGTCAAGTGCAAATGGAAAAAATATATATATGTTTTTTGTTTATTTACTCATTTATATGAACGTATATATATAATTTATACATATACCATATCGGTACTGCTATGCTGTATTAACACATTGATGCACTTATCGTTTTAAACCATTATGTTTAATCTATTTTGCGCCAGACTGCTTTAACATTTCCTATTATAAATATCAAGCCAGGTAAAATAATCGTGAATTTATGTTATTTCACACTATTCAGTTTTTTTTTTTTTTTTTTAAATTTCTAGTATACAAAAAATAATTTTATTTAGACGAATTATAAAACAATCCAGTTCAATATTGATTAACAACATTCATTTTAAAATCATTAATTATTATGTAGAATGAAAAGTTTAAAACATTTTGACTAATTCTAAAATACTAATATTAAACACAACACCTTTAATTAAAAATACTAATATTGAACACAACACCTTTAATACTAAATTATATTACATGCATATTTAACGTTTAGGAAAATAACTAAAATGATTTGTAGAATTGTTCGAAATTCCTATTTAATAAAACAAGGATGTTCAATGTAAAGTATCTTTTTAACAAATAAAATATTTTAAAATTGAATTAAAAACGATCAATTACGTTATTTTTTAGAAACTATTAGCAATGCCTGTTTTCAAGTATCAAGATAATATTTGTTTCATAAACAGATAGATGTTGTTAGTATTTATTGATTGTAGTTATAAGGAATTCGTTCAAATAAAGTACTTAAAATATGGATTTCAACCACGATTTTGTAAAGCCGTTAACCTTACTTCCTTTTAGATCTAGAAAATGTATGTATTGTAAAAAGACAAATATCTTCAAACCAGTGTGTGCAAGTGCAAAGACTGTTATGAAACATGTCATCGACAATGTCACAAACAGTATTTGCAAATGGAGGAGAAAGAGCAAAATCAGTTATTATTTCTGACGTACCAAAAACAAAACACGATCTTCGCTGTTAACATATTACAGGTACAAACATGATCCATATAATGATAATAAAAATATGAGCATAAGTTAACACACTAAATAATAATATTTAAAATTAGAATTACCATACCAATAATCATAATGGATACCTATAGAATTCATATCCTGTACTGTTCAATGTATACAAATCATCGAAGGTTGTGTACATAAAATTGATGTCTATAATTGATTAGTAAATGTATTGTTATAGTTTTTTTACGATACAACTCTCAACATTTATAAGATTTAAACAAAATAATAATTATTATTGTTTAGTATAATAATTGTGTAAAAAATAATCAATGATATATTTGAGATAATGCCCTACATGACAAAAATTATAAGGGATCCCCCTTAAAAAAAAAAAAGATAAATCTTGTAGATTTTGAATTTTCTACAGACTTTTAAGTACAAACTAAATCTAATTTTCTATATAAAACCAATCTCAAACTTTTAAGTTGAAGCATTTAAACAAAAATATATTGGGTACATCTACACAAAAAACACGTATTATTATTATAAGATCAATACAATCATTAATTCATTATTTCACTCATAATTTTTATTATATATTTCAAAATTTAAAGTTTATTGAAAATTATATTTAATAATACAAAAAAAATGATAAACCGATGATTAATAAAAATCATGTTCATTACAAATCATAAGTATTAATTTTCAACTTTCTACTATTTAAAAAAAAATATCCAGTAAATTAATAAATTCTTGGTTACTTAAATTTCTCAAATAAAAATGTAATATATTACATTTATCTATATCTATGAACTAAAAAAAGTTAATTCGTATAAAATTGTAAAATATTTTGAAAGAATAAGTAAAAATTAAATAAAGTTTAAATCTTAAATCGTGTTACATTAATAAGTTTAGCAGATATTTTTTAGTTTTAGTAAATAATAAAATTTACTAAACCATTGATTGTTTATAATATTAAAAATAAAATGAAAAATATGTATATGCAGAGCAACTTAACTACATAAATATAAAGATAAACAAAATAAAATGATATTATAGAGTAAATAAATGTTACTTACAGATATGATAAAAATAATGTTTCGTTCCAATTTCTATAGTATAAGTACATTCAATTACTACAATTGGACATTTTAATGTTCATTTATTATAAAAATTCATCATAGTTTATCATAATAGTCTTTTATTATATCACTTCCTTTTTCCCCAATCATTATTGAAGCTGCGTTAGTATTTACAGAAACAATTTTTGGCATAATTGAACTATCTATCAACCGCAATCCAAGAACTCCTTTCACTCTCAATTTAGGATCAACAACAGAATATGAATCATCTTCTGAACCCATTCTACAGGAACCGACGACATGATAAAAAGGCGCAGCTAAGTTCTGAATGACACAAATCCAATAATCTCGAGTGTCCCAAACATACATAGCACAATTTGATAATTTCAACTCCTCTAATACAAACCCAGCCTCTATCATGCTTTTAGTTTTAGATAATTTTACAACGAATTCAATACCCTTTAACAAGGTTTCTATTTCTGTGTCATGAGACAAATAATTTAAAAATATTTTAGGTTTGTCTAACAGATTATTTGAATTTAACATAATTCGACCGGTACTTAATGGTTGTAAAATAATTGGTGTCATTATTATGAGATCACTTAATAAGTTTAATTCATCATATAAATTTGTTACTTCTTTAGCATATCCAAACATGTTTGTAAATGCATTTATTTTATTTGGAAAGGTATTTGTTGAGTTAAACGGAATTCTGAATTTTATAATTTGTAAATCAGGATACTCTAAACTATCATTTGATTTATAAAATGTCATAAGCTTACTAAGGCCAAGTGTTGATATATTTTTTGAATACAGACTCATTTCTTTATTCAACAGATCATGGCTTTCATTCATTATGTCCTCGATTGGTCTACATTTACGATCTGTAAATACGAATACTGGAAGTGACATATGATCCTGTAAGTTATAACCTACTGGTAGGTCACTAATAATAGGAATACCGTGATCGCTTAAATGTTCTTTTGGTCCGATTCCAGAAAGCATGAGAAGCTGTGGACTTTTTATAGGTCCAGCGCATACTATTACTTCTTTTTTACAAAAAACTGTTTTGAACTCATTTGATGAACATTTGAATTCTACTCCCACTGCTACATTATTTTCGATTAAAATCTTGGTGACAATTGTATATTTAGCTACATAAAGATTTGGACGATTACTCGCTGGTATTAAAAACGCTTTTAATGTACTACATCGACGGCCATTACGAGTGGTTGAATCGAAATTACCATATCCGATAACTGGTTCTTTTCTATTAAAATCATTCACCTCAATTAAATTTGAAGACTTCTCTGCTTCAACGATAACCTTATAAGCTGGATCGAATGTTTCTAACGGTGTTATAGTCAGTGGTCCTTCTTGTGAATGAATTTCTGGATCAAATCTATATTGATCTACAAAATCTTCTGATTTTTTAAAATACGGTAAAACGTCTTCATAGTCCCATCCATGACAATCATACTTATTTTTCCATTGTCTAAAATCTTCTACAGTACCTCGTAAGTGTATCATTGCATTAATTGAAGACGATCCACCTAATGCAAAACCCCTAGATATAATACACCTCTCTTGTTCCATTCCTTTAAAAAGTAAAGGATTCTTTTCCGATAAAAATATCCAGTCACATTTTGTCCTTAGATTTTGGTTCCATAAAATTGGATTTTCGGTTAGTTCTGGTGGATCACCTCCTGCTTCTAATAGTAAAACATTCCATTCAGGTATTTCACTTAAACGAGCAGCTACTGTCGCTCCAGCACTTCCACCTCCAACCACTATAAAATCGAATGTCACTTTCGTAGGATCTTCGCATAACGTTGGTGCGTAATCGAATGGATAGATTATTGCATGATATCCTTGTAGTACCTAAATACAATGAATGTCTAAATTAAACTTGGAAGTTCAATTGATAACATTTATATTTGTCTATTATAATAATCGTTATATTTATTTCAATTAAGTCAATGATCAATGTGAATTGTTAATTTATATGTTTAGATCATTTAATGTTTGCTTTTTATTTTTATTTTATACTTTGATTCTTTTAATGCAAAAATTAATGAAGGAAATTATTAATATTTAAATTTATTCACCAAATTTAATAATAATTTTAATTAATTAATTAATTATCTGATATTCTGAGTAAAATAATTTTTTTTATATCATATGGAATTATATTATATTATTTGGATTATTCAATATAACTAGTTTTTATTTATTTTTTTTTTACTTTAAGATAAGATAAGATGTTCCTAGCTTTGGTAAAATATAACTAGTAAAACATATTATGGCATTTGCCAATATGTTCAGTTTATTTATGTACCTATTATTTTTTTTCTCAACAATATTAAATTGTAAATTTTAATTTTAATAGTATTGTTGTTTTTATTTTTTAGATATAAATTAATATTTAAAGAAATTTGTTTTCATTTTATTACTTTTTGCATGTGAAAAAATTGCTTTATTTTTTTATTAATTAAATAAGATTGTATTCCTATAACTTATCCTTCATTAAAAACAATACTTTATTGTAACTAGGTACTTAATGTAACGTTGATCCTAACATTTTCATAATTTTCTATTTATAAATTATCATTTTAACCAGGCCTTGATTAATATTATCGTAGGCCCTAGGCAAAGATGGTCAATAAACTTTCTCTTTGGAGACTGTTAAGCTTTATAAAACAAAAGTATTTTTAAAATAAAATTCAAATCTAAACTCTTATATCATAATAATTTTAACAAATCATAAAAACAATTCATTTTACATCAAAATATATAAAATCAAATTTTCAAAAACCATAAAAACAACCTATTTTATAAAATTTTGCGTATTTCTTTATTAGGTACTCGTATTTAAGTATAAACCAAAAGATTGTATAACTATGACAAAAAAAAAAAAAAAAAAAAAAATTACAATTATGTACTAAATATAGTTTTATAGATACTAAACTTTTTACGACATTTTTGTTTGCAAATTATTTAATTAATTCTTCGTTATTGATTTCTTGGAGCAATTTGTTTTCAATTGCAAAATTGATAGGCAATAACGAAGACAATTTATTTTACTCAACTGTCGATTGCTATCAATTTATAACCCTTTTTAAAACTGAAAACAATCTTTTATCTTCGTATGAGGTTCCAAAAATTGATAAATATATTCTAAAAGCAATGTTTACATTTGAAAAACTTTTTACCATTTTGGTATTTATTTGTTTCTTTAGCATTTCATCAACAGACATTCAAATTTCTCGAAAGATCTTAAAGATTAAAAACTTATTGACAAATATAGATTTCAAATCGGTTTTATAGGCTTCGACTTAATTATGAGCCCTTATTATTATTTCATCATCTTTTAATATCTTGTCAGTTAAAAAATTAAATCTTTTGTCTTATTTTAAATAACCATTTTTTTGTTTTTCCATTTCAACGATCAATTTATCAATTATAAAATAAAATGTTTAAATTTTGAATTTATCTCTAGCACTCATTTGATCTACAGCATCAATTGCGTTACCATCAGTTATCGAGACTTTATGTTTACGTTAACAAACATTGGGTGTAAATATACGAGTAGGTACCTAATATCATTATTTTTCCTTGTGAATTCTCTCATGCATAATATTTTACTTGTTATGCTAACGTGTATATTAACTTATAATAATAATAAAAAAAAAGAATATTACAAAAAAATTGTAGTTACACATTATCGTAGGTCCAAAAATGTTTGTAGGCCCTAGGTACAGTGCTTATAGTGCCTAATAACTAATGCGGCCCTGATTTTAACAACTATTTAAATTTACTATTGACAACATAAATATTTAGATTAATTTATATGTTTTTAAAGTGAAATGATTGAAAATAACCACAATATCATCATTATATACATAATTTATTATTTTATAGAACAAGAACTGGTCCTTAAATCACAAGCATTACATTTTTAATAATACTAATGGTAATAATAATGTGCTATTTGAAATTCAAAAAAATTGTTAAAAAAAATATGTGTAATTTTATTTTGAAAACTATTTATTTTTTAAGTACATTTTAAACACAGGTTGGTATTAATCACTATTATTTTTAAATTGCCTTTTTAAAAATTCTTTTCATGCAAGGTAAAAAAGTAATTTAAGTAAATGACTACATCTAAAATAACAGTGCATCTTTTAAATTCATTTTATGTAGTTAATAGTCACATACCATACAAAACGCAGTAACTGCAATTATTTTAGCATTCATGTTAAAAATTAATTTGAAATCGATACACATCATGAAAATTATAAATTAAATTAATTTTAAATACCAATTTTTTAATTCGATAAAAATATTGCATTCTCTGTGTATAATATATCTTAATAATATTAACGTTACGATTAAAATGTTAATATTGTTTGAAGTATTATTAATTTATTGATATCAAATAAGTTTTTTTTTTATTAAATCAATATTCATATGATTATTTCACATGTGAACATGTGTTTAATAGTTTTCATAATATTCTATGTTTATATTTACTTATTTACCATACAGAATAAAGTTTGATTTATGATTATGTAATATGTATGAAATATGTTTTTAGGTCTATAGAACAAAAAACAATAAAGCTCGAAGTTATAACTCAATAAATCTTAAATCATTACATTATATTTTTACTTAATAATTGATATATGCAAAGTCTATGCATGTAAAAAATATTCAAGTAATAGAATTAACAATTAAGGGATTGCATGATTGGAAGAGTCATCTTCCTTCAAACAGATGATATATCATACCCATAATACTTATCTTTAGAAAGTTATTCATATTTTTCTATCACCAATCATGGCCAACTTTAATACCTACTAAATTATTGAACAACGCTATTTCTGTTATTTATATTATTATGATTATTATTGATGTTTTATCATATGGTAAAAATGTAAAATAACTTTTAAATCATTTTAATATATATATAAGTAAATAAAGATGGAATTGGTGCTGAACGAACAGCAACTGTAAACATAAGCGTGCGCAGACATTATTGGCAGGGTAGTCATACATGATACATTACACATTGACATTTAACATGAACAAAAAATTTTTAATAGGGTAACTTTATTTAACTGCATTTACCATAATAAAAAAATATTTTATAAGTAATAATTAAATGTAGTATACCTAAAAAAAAATTTTTTGAGATTAAAATCACAATTCTAAATTAACATACACCTTATTAAATAATTTACAAATTAAATTCTTTATAATATGTAGGTATCGTTTTTTCGAGCAATAATTCGTTAGTCAGTAGTCACATTCGGTAAAAACACGAATACTTTATCATAATATTAATATCATAAACGAATATCGATATTATTCAATGGTCTACCACGGAGCCATAGAACCTAAAATAGATTACTCCATGACTAATTATAAATATGTATATATTTAGCCATGGATTACTCAATGTTGTAAACTGAAATCACGGACTAAGATATAATATTATATAAATATAATATATAATTATATAATATTATATTATATCTTAGTCCGTGACTGAAATCAACCAGTCTGGTTTGCGATAAGATCATAGAGTATTACCACAGACTATACGTCAAATCTCGATACAATAGATATATAATACAATATATAATACAACCGTGGATACAGATGTAACTTTTTAACGTATCGTAAACTTCTTGAACACTCGAGCCCGTTTCCGGAACGTATCGATACGTATCGTTTTCTTCCTTGAAAATCTTGTATATGAAAACATAGTCTGTGGTATTACTCTATGGATAGAATTCAATGTTTGAACAGCGATAACCATGATACAATAAATTGATAAAATAAAATTATGATATATTTATTTTATCATGGCAGTTACTAACGACGATATATTTTTTTTAATTTTTCCAGTATTCTTATTTCTAACATTTTACCGTTTACGGACATACTGAAATGGTTAAACATAATATTAAGTTGAGGAGGGGGAGTTGTTCGCAGAGTAGTCAAGTGCCTACCCTGACTACCCCGTGTGCACGCTTATGACTGTAAAAACAAATGTATGCCTATTTTCCTTATTAACATCATAAATTAGGTAATAATAGATGTTATCAATTATAATATATTTTTAAATGTTAATACATACCATAGAAAGAAAAATTTAGAAACATCACGTATGTTTAACGAAACGATTGCACAAGTGAACGTGCATAAAATATCAGAGAAAAAAGAAAATGAATTTCAAAACAGAGGTAGAACAAAATAAGTTATTTTTCACGAACCGAGAACAAAATACTGGGCATCCAAGTGTAATTATTGATGTGATTAATTTAATTGTAAATATTAGCATGTTAAATTTTATTATACTCATATTATTATTATAATTATAAGGATTGTGCGTGTAACTGTAGTCTATAATGGGCTAACAGCTAGGCTCGTGTTTTGTGCGACTATTTCGTTTTTAATAATTTCAATAATTTCATTTGTCGATTTTTATTCTTTAAATTTACACATTTACTCTTCTTTTTTTTAAAAAATTGCTTGTGGCATTTACAATGACATGTTTCATAGCAATCTGCGCACTTGTAAACTGGTTTGAAGACTTTTTGCCCTTTTAAAATTCATACATTTTCTAAGTAGGAGAGAAAATAAGATCAATGGTTTTAAAAAATCGTGGTTGAAATTAATATTTTTAGTATTTTATGAGAACAAATTTTTTGTAAATACAATCAATGAATACTATTAGAAAACTGTTTATATAATACAAATATTAACTTAATGCTTGAAAATAGGCGTTGCTAATAATTTTCCGAAAATAATGTAATTAATTGTCTTTAATTCAGATTAATAATATTTTATTTGTTAAAAAGATTCTTTAGATTGAACATTCTTGTATTTTTTTTTAATAGATGTGTCGAGTAATTCTACTAATCGTTTTAGTTATTTTCCTAAACGTTAAAGATGCATGAATGTAATATAATTTAATGTTAATAGTGTTATGTACCTATAATATTAGTGTTTTAGAATAAAATTAGTCTAAATAGGTATTTTAGACATTTCATTGTGTTATAATTAATAATTTTAAAATAAATGTTGTTAATCAATATTTAATTGGATTATTATATTTTTCGTCCAAACAAAATTATTTTTTATATATTAAAAATATTTTAAAAAAAATAGTAATAAATTGTTTATAGTTTGAAATAACCAAACCTAACCTAATGCAGTCTTGCACAGACTAGATAAAACATAAGACGTATAAAATGCTTTAGAATGTGTGCATCAACGTGTTAATACAGTATAGCTTTAATAAAAAAAGTTTTTATTAATTTATATTTTCTCACAACAATATAATTTTCCATTTTTTTGCATAGGTAAGTTACGTGTAAAAATGAATCGTGTGAATTGCGTGTGTATGAATAGAGTGACTATGCTATGATGGATGAAATAGTGCAGTTTTTACAATAAAATTTCAGAAATAGCATAAGATGACTAGGATGAATCCGTTACTCATATAGTCATATAGCTATGATCACATTTTATCCTAATATGGTGAATACGTTGTTCTTTAAACAGTAGAGCCAGTCTTCGGATAAACAAAGTTGAATAGGTACTCGAGTCAATCGAGGAACCACAGAACTTGTAACAACGTCTCATTCGATACTACAAAAAACATAACACTAACCAATTTGCATTTAAATAATTCTAACTCCACCAGTTCTTCGACGATCTGTATAAACTATACGACTAAAGCTTGTTGAATACTTGCAAACTCTCCAGCTTTATAATATTACTATAGACATTGATTATAAACAGTATTTATATGGTTAGAATTTTTTTATAAACATTCAAAATTAGAATTTTTATGAAATTCGTCAAAATCACGAAAGTCAAAAACGTATAAACACTATAAATAATGTTCCAAGCATGGGCGCCCATAGGTAATATTTTAGGGGGGGTCAAAATAAAAAAATTTTCGAAAGTAAGATAGTAAAGATTTAATGTTATTTTTCACATATAAATGTATACACTATACATGCATGTTATATTTTTATTTGTATATATATATATAGTGTATTAATATAATAATTGCCATACGAATAAATAAATAAATATATAATAATTGTCATATGAATAAATAAATAAATAAATAATAATTTTAATAAGTATATAAAAAAATAGAAATTAAATATTATAATTAAGTATATTATTCGGTATCAGTAAATAAGAACTGTAAATTTCTTCGTTTTATTCCAAACATATTAATGACATCCTGAATGAAAGTATCCTTGTTTGCGTTAGGTTAAAATATTTGTAGTACCTATATTGTGATCTTTATAGATTTACCACAAATTATCTGCGATAAATTATTTTACGTATAGGTTATACAGACTACAGAATACGACCTATCTATGATGTTAATATACGATAACAATGAGTATATTTTTATATTTATTTCATATCTTAAAAGTTGATTTCAACAAATAATTTGCCTCGGTAATAAGGTAATATTGTGGTAATATTTTTTCCAGGGGGGGGCAAGTGCCCTGTCTTGCCCCCCCCAATGGGCGCCCATGGTTCCAAGTTAAAAAATAAAGATGTAAAAATGTAAGCTGTCAGCACACACATTAACCATAGAACAATACCAAAATAAAAAATTCAAAATATCAACCGATCAGTGGCCCGGTAGTGTCACCGCCACGGTGAATGGAAATGTCGAAGTAACACTGGTTGCGCTTTGCATGCAATCAGCTGCGGCAAGTTTCCCGCCAATTGTTTGTTTACCCACAAAGCAGTCGGACCGCAGACGTACCACTTCCAGTTTCCACTTATCCACGTCCAAATGCCGTTTTTTTTTTTTCTAACGTTTAATATATTAATATCCGTCATCGGACTCTGCGAGTCTGGACTTTTGTACTGAATACTTATATCTGCTCTTCCTATTACCTTCACCGCACACCGTGAGTGGCCGTCATTTACCGCCGATTCACAAGCCGCAACGAATAAACTACAGTTATCAATATTTTCATAATCTTACAGTCATTATTAGCATTACGAGTTTTACAATACTTGACTGACATACACGACCATGGCTAAAGCAGGCCCTAGAGACTACGAAGCTGACAAAGCTAAAAACATCATCACGTTTTTAGTTTTTTAAGATAATTGCGTTCACCTACATCTGTGCATGCCTTAAACCTAATATTCACCGTCTTGTTTTCAGCAAAACTCACGGAATTCTTGCAAAACTACCAGACGTTGGACAAGGATAATCAAAAGTACGCCAAATATGCTGTACAGTTAGCCAAACTCGCACACCGCGAACAGGTAAGTGAATTAAGTAACGTCGCATAATTTAGTATACCTAATCATTATGTTCTTGTTGCTTTTAAAGGTGTCTTTGTACATCGAGCTTGATGATTTAGATCATTTTGACAACTTGTTGGCCGATGCTGTATCTACAAATAGTCGTCGTTACTCTTCCATGATTGGTGATATTGTGCAAGATCTATTGCCAAATTACAAAGATCATGAAGTAAGTAAACTATTCAATTAAAAACTATTTCCTAAAGAATTAAAATTTATCCCTGTCATCTTATTCAAGCCTGAAAACAAAGATGCATTGGATGTTTATATTGAACATAGAATATTGGCCCAGCAAAGACAAAGAATGAGACAAGCTGATGAAAATATCGCTCCTACAAATAAATATCCTCCAGAACTAATGCGAAGATTGTAAGAAAATGATATTAGTATTGCCAAAAATATTATTTTATTGTTTTTTTAATTTTGTTTTGCTTTAGTGAAATATACTTTAAAGATTTAAGCACTAAGAAAGAATTACCTATACGTGATGTGAAAGCCAATAGCATTGGTAGATTAATATCTGTGCGTGGAATTGTTATGAGAAGTACAGAAGTTAAACCTATGATTGTAGTTGCTAATTATTCTTGTGATCTGTGTGGTGGAGAAACTTATCAACCAGTATGTATTTACATTTTTATTACAATTCTTCTGCAATAAAAATTAATATTTATATCATGTTTAATAGGTAAATTCACTAACTTTCAAACCTTTAGAATTCTGTCCAAGTCCAGAATGTTCAGCTAATAAACCAGGTAGTCGATTGTACTTGCAAACTAGAGGATCTAAATTTATAAAATTTCAAGAACTCAAAATTCAAGAACTAGTAAATTAATGTTTAATTGAATGTAGATGTAATATATTTTAAATTTTATATGTATTTTGTTGTTTTATTTAGAGTGATCAAGTACCAGTAGGTAATATTCCACGTTCATTAACTGTTTTATGTAGAGGTGAAGCTACACGGCAAGCAGTACCAGGAGATCATATATCAGTAACAGGTATATTTTTACCTATGGTTCGTTCTGGATTCCGCCAAATTCAGCAAGGTCTATTATCTGATACTTTTCTTGAAGCCCATGTAAGTATTCTAGACTAGAAATCTTTACAATATTAATAAAATCATTCTAATATTATAAAAGATAATAAGATTTTTTTTTTTTTTTTTAATCTTTTAAAAGCAATTTTAATAATCTTAAAATAAATTATGGTATGAAAAATCTAAATTTTTTTAAATATAAGCAATTTATAGGCTAATATATAATTATTATTTATCAACTAGGTTATGAATTTAATGTGCTAAACGATTTAAATATAAATGTTCTGTATGTTTATATGAGATTTATAATTTAAATTAAAGATATTAATAATTGATCATGATATTGTACGTTAGGTTAGGTTATAAAAATTTAAAAAAATACATAATAAATTAAGTATTTCAAAATAAAATTTATTAGTGCCTTATTTAAGCTTTTTTATCAAGAAGTTATGTTTTACAATCTGTTAAAAATAATACATTATTTCTACAATTTCAATACTGTCACTCAAATTTTTAGTGAAAATAATTTAACAAATTTATTTAATTTAGAAAGTTTACTGTAGAATTGTGTTGATTTTATTATCTGTATAAAATTATACATTTATTAGCTTCATGTTTTATTTTTTATTATAAAAAGTAAATTAAAAATTATATCAATATTATATTTAATATAACTAAATATTGATATATTACTATGTACCATTGTTTTATTACTTCAATTATTCATTAATCCTTTTAAATGTCAAGTATTTAATATATATAAATATTTAATTCATAATTAAATTAACTCTTTGTTATAAATTTTAGTATATTGAATGCTTAAATAAATTAAATGAAGAAAAGCTTGGAGAAGGCGAACTATCTGAAGAAGAAGTATTAGAATTGGCTGGTGATGACTTTTATACAAAATTAGCGGCAAGCTTAGCACCAGAAATATATGGCCACGAAGATGTTAAAAAAGCATTATTGTTACTTTTAGTTGGTGGTGTAGACAGAGCACCTGATGGAATGAAAATTAGAGGTAAAAATAAGTTGTGCTCTTAGTATTTTATGTTAAGTTTAAACACTGTTATATTAAAAAAAAAAATATTGTTACATTTTCAAAAATGATTCAATTTTGATTTGCTAGAATAGAAAATAAGGTTTGAGTTTGTGAAAATTTGAATTTGACCCATCAAAAAAAACAAATAATAAATTGTTCTATCATGATATTACTAAATTAACTTATGTAATTTATAAATCTTTTACCTAAGTAAACCAATACAAATTAGTAATTATATATGAAGTATTTTAAATCTAAACTTACATCATATTAATGTAAGGTAAAATATGTAACTAAGATAAACCTATAAATTAAAAAAAAAAATCTTCCATAGTTATTATATTATTAATAATATTGTTAATTGTATTTTGACTCTTATTAGGAAGCATCAATATTTGTTTAATGGGAGATCCTGGTGTAGCAAAATCTCAATTGCTCTCTTATATTGAACGTCTTGCTCGTCGTAGTCAGTATACTACAGGTCGAGGTTCTTCAGGTGTCGGTCTCACTGCTGCCGTAATGAAGGATCCTCTAACCAATGAAATGGTCCTAGAAGGTGGTGCCCTTGTGTTAGCTGACCAAGGTGTTTGTTGCATAGATGAATTTGACAAAATGGCAGAGTCTGATCGAACTGCTATTCATGAAGTGATGGAACAACAAACCATTTCAATTGCTAAAGTATGTTTTTTAAAACCTCAATTGATTTATTTTATAGTTAACTATATTTTATATAGGCTGGAATAATGACACGTTTGAATGCACGTGTAAGTATATTAGCTGCAGCCAATCCTGCTTATGGAAGATATGATCCTAAACGTTCAATTGAAGCAAATATCCAACTTCCAGCAGCATTGCTCTCTCGTTTTGATTTATTGTGGTTAATTCAAGATAAGCCCAATCGTGAAAATGATCTTAAGTAATATTAATTAAACTTATAGTAAATATTATTAATTAGTAAATTATATTCATAAAATTTTCTTTAATTAGGTTAGCACAACATATAACATATGTTCATAAGCATAGTTGTCAACCACCAACTGAAGTACAAGCATTAGATATGAGCTTAATGCGCCGGTATATTGATTTGTGTAAAAAGAAGACTCCTACTGTTCCAGTAGAGCTTACAGAATTTCTTGTTAATTCATATGTTGATTTACGTAAAGATTCGCGTCACAAAGGTGATACAACATTTACCTCAGCAAGAAATCTATTGGCTATACTCAGGATATCTACAGCTTTAGCTAAGCTTAGATTATCAGATGTGGTTGAACGCGAAGATGTAGTTGAAGCTATGAGACTTTTAGAAATGTCTAAAATATCGTTGATGCAGATTGATGAGAAAACTGGAAGGTATGTTTTACAAATAATTTTACCCTGAATTTTTGATAATATAACTTATTTACTTTTAGACCTCAAACTGTTGTGGACCGTATATTCAATGTAATAAGAGAACTTGCTGGAGGACGAACTGTTGTTAAAATGTCTGATATTAGAGAATATTGTACCAGTAAAGGATTCAACACATCACAAGTTGATGATTGTATTGAAGAATATGAAATGCTTAATGTATGGCAAGTGAATCAAGCTAAAACTACAATTACTTTTATATAGGTACTTTTTTTAAATTACAATTTTTTACCTCAATTTTTGTATCTATTTACCACATTTAAAAGATAAAATGACTTTTTGTAATCAATCAGTGTGAAAGTTATGTTATAATTTATATTTAATTTTTTAATTTTAAAAACAAAGTACAATTTTTTTAGTTTTTAAATAATTTAAATTCTTATTTTGTATTTTAAAAAAAATATTTATTCAACTAAAAAATAAAATTCAAAACTTGATTTTAATAAATTTGAAATCTTGAACAAATATGACTTTATTATAAAATAGTATAATTTCCCATTGACTAAAAACTATTATTATATTAAATTAAGAAGTTAATATTTATGCATACTTAAAATAAATCACATACTGCATTCTTTGTCATATAAATTTATTATATGTATGCATATACAAATAAATAAATTATATAAATATTAGTTCACTTCTAAAAAATTACCCAATTTTTGCACTTCACTCTGATTCAATGCCTGGAATCCCCTAAGGTTTAATAATATACTGTCGTGACCTGAGCTCTTAATCCTTATAATTAAAAAATCAAATTTAAAGTGTAATTTCTGAGTTACTTTTTTCTTATGAAACTCATGTCACATTTTGGCACATATTCTTACTATATATAAATGCTTACAGATTGTATTTAATAACAAAAAAAAATATTTATGTATTTGGATTGAGACTATATATTTTCTGACATGGGCAATCCCTAACTGATAACATACCAATCAATGACCGTGTTATAAATTCAGAATATTAGTTTTTGACTAATAAAACTATGTATATTATATGTAGCTATTAGCCATATAGGAACTTAAAAATACTTATTAACAAGTGTTATTGATTTTTTTTAATTTTAATCACTAGATACTGTTATTTAAAAATATATTAAAAGTTAACAGAGTATTATTGATTTTGTCAAAAAATCAGGTACATAAATCTTATCAGATAGAAATAATAACAATATACAAGTACTTAAATTTTAATTTTTTCAAAAATTACACACCAGTTACCCTGATCATAATAATAATCAATCACTTTACAATCATGAATTTGTTCACATAATGATTTCAATTCAGATTCTTCAAACACATGATAATATCTTAGATGTGTTATAGGTTCATTTTCTTGGTCTTTTTTTTGATTCAACTTCCACGGAACTAGCAAGTCATTATGTGTGAAATTTGAACGATTTGTATGTATTGGTAGATTAACATCAATTGATTCAACACAAAATTCTTTAGTTAATTCATGTTTTGACTCCGGCTTATGTTTATTAACTTTGCTCTGTTTTAAATAAGTAGAAAGGTTTTCATTTCTACATTGTTCTTTGGCCCACACATATACAAGTGCTTGGCCTCCAACTGTTAATACTCTGTTAATTTCCTTCAGAGCTTTTAGACGTCGATCACTTGTGGCCAAATGATGAAGAACAGCTATACTAATACATAAATCAACACAATCTGAACGTATTGGTAATTGGAGACAATCACAGTTAAATACTTGATGGTTACGATTTTTACTAATTTGAGCTAATTGAGTACTTCGATCACAACCTAACTATAAATGATAATATTTAAGGTAAATAATAAAATAATTTAAAAAATATTATTTATACTATATACCTGATAAGCATCAGTAGTATTGGTAAAATACTTAGCATTTCCACAACCAACATCTAAAACAATTGTACCGGGTTTAGATTTGTTTAAAAATTTAACAACATTCGGCCAAGGTTTCTGTCGTGTTTCACTAAAATGTGATGCTATGTTTTCATAAACCTATAAAAACAAAATGATCAAAAATTAAATCACAATTAGTACTTACAAGAATATAAGACTTAAATTTAAAAGTAATTTTAGATATAAACATAATTTCATAAGTAAATATCTATTTTTATTCACTCTAATAATTTAGTAAAACACCAATAAATTTCAAACTAATACTTTAGAACATAGCCTAACCCTTTATATTAATGCTTAAATTCAAAAATCAAACAAAAAATAACTTAATAAATGTATTAAATGGGAAAGTATTTCAGGATCAACTTTTATTAAATTTAATATTGAAACTTTTAATATGGTTTTCAAACGTTGTTTGTTGTTTTTACATATAAACATGACTGATATTAAATATATAATTTATTAACAAGTACATACATCGTGAACATGCTGAGATTCAAGCGTTGAAGCATTTTTTTCATTCAAAGACATAATATTATTGGTAATCTGTAAATATATATAATATTAAACTATCGTACAACACAGTAAACGTACTTAAATGTAGTTTGAAAAAAAAATATATAACACATTAATCTAATTCAAAATGCTTATAAGTTATAACTAATAAGTATTAAGTATTGAAAATAAATAACTTATGATCAATAACAGAAATTAATGTAAAATAAAAATTGAATATTTTGAACAATCGCGAAAACCGTTGTCACGTGAAATGTAGGCATGGCCTATGTCACTGTGATTGTGATAGTAGTGATAGTACACGAATTAAGATAATATACAGGTTAGCTCACAGAGCAATAAAAGTATGTTACGGTTGACTGGTACACATTTCTGCCACTAGTGTAGGGCGCTAGTAGTAATGAGGATCACTATTCACTTTATTTTATTTTGCACTCTCGTAAATTTCATGTAAGCACTAAGCAATGTTAACTCAGTTAACTGTAAACTTTAGCCGTACAGCCCGTACAGGTTACTGGTAATACATGTCATGCAGCTTAATATTACATCGCAAATTCGCGAATTGGCGATAAACAATAAAAATCAATTCGTACCGATCCTATTGGTATACATTTCACAATAATTGTAATAATTATATATTTTTATTCTTAATTTTAATATATTAATAAATTATCCATAATCCATCCGCAGCTTTGAATTTCAAGTTTGCAATTATGCATTCGGTACCATCATACCAATATGGTATAGTTGAATATACCCGAGAAGTATTATTGATAATTGATATTGATCACACGCTTGAGTTGCTTTCGATTTCAAGTATTCGATACCTATATATCAAAATACATCAGACTAGAATTGAATATTAAAACATTTAACATCAACATTAGATACCCGTGGTCCTCAGCAGTCCCAAATAGGTATAAAGTACAAACATCGCAGTGTCCCACCACTCCCACCGACTCTCGAACTTATTGACGGAACTTTGTAAGCAAACAGTGCGAATTATTAAAATCTTCTACATTACTTGATAACGGGAGATGTGAGTCTCGAGATGAGCTGGCTGTACGCGTGCCGCGTTCCTACGAGCAGGTAGCAAAAGTTTACCACCTTGGTGATATTTTACGTGCAATCAAGTTCATGACAACGACCAACGATCATTAGTCATTACGAATGACAGAGTAAAATAATTCATGTTATTGAATCTACTATACGTCGGATTTATGTCTACTAAATATGGGGACCGCGAAAGGAGCATAATATTATACAAAGGTATTAATTATTATATCATCATTATCAATTATCATCTGCATTCAGTTGAAATATTTGGTCATCCACTGACCACAGCCCACAGTAGAATTTATTGACGATACTAAATAATATACAATATTAGGTACACTTGTGAAACGACAAAATATTTTATCACTGCTTTGAAAATTTAATGAAGAGTAGGTACATCTACTACTACCTATAATATACTCGTCTTATACTAAAGAATAGGCATTAGCAGATTTATACAAAAATGTTATTTGAACTTGCAGTGCATTGTGTTACATTCATCCTATTTCAGGTATTTTCATTTTTTTCGTTATTATTACATTAAAATATTAACAATAGTGTTTTTTTTTTAAATAAAATGTTCATAATTTAATTATATATTAATAAAAGCTATTTTTCAATTTAAATTTGTTCATCTATGTTACAAAATATTTACTAAAAAATTAGAAATATAATTTTTACATAGTTTAGAGTGTGAAAACTTACTATAATTTATATTTATATTTAATAATTTAAAATTTATTTATAGACTTGCCCCTTGTCTTATTAATTTTTCATTCTGTTCAAGCATTTTCGTAAAGAACTGTATACACAATATTATTTGTATACGAAGTTCTTCGTATAATCTGATCCGTAACGACGACCACAGGGCACCAACCACTACGAGTAACCTAGTGTAATTTCGATAATAATAATATCAATTTTTTTTTTGGAAAAACACAAATGAAATTTTTATCCAATAATGATAATATTAATATGAATAATTATAGATTTGAAAATTAAAATAGGTAAGCACCTAGTGAATATTGTCGTTCACAGCTATTTTGCTGGTATATACCAATATATACCTATGACATTACTACACAACAATTTTATAGGTACATCAAAATTCACTTGACAATAGTATTTGTCTTCAAAAGCGTATTTTATCATTCAAAAAAGTAAATTATATAAAAAATATATAACAATAAAATAGTCAACAATAGAATATTTTTTTAAAACGATTGTTTTAACATGCTTTAAAAATATGTTAATAATTCACGTCTCTTGGGATAAATTATCATCATATGTATTTAACAAGCTCTCGATGTAGATTCACGATATTGGGTAAGTTTACCCACCACTCACACTTGTTAAAGGACATGATATTGTAAATATATATCGTTCATGTTATTTAATGATATAAGGTGGTTACTGTACAATGCGGGTATTTTTTTTTTATTGTTTCTGACAAACCTAATCTGTATCGCATGAACGCCAATCGACTATGAAAATAGGTATACAATTGATATATATATATATATATATATATATTACCTTCATGGTTATGAGCTTTAAATTTTAAGACAGGAGTCATTTCATCGTCAGTGTGCGTAAGTAATTCATTACATAATATAACAATTTGTGAACAATGTGAACACATACCCACCGACCACCAAATACCTACCAATTTTCACTTTTTTTGTTTATCGTTTAAAAACAAGTTGTACATTAATAATTTATTTTAATTTACTTTTGTGATTAAACAGTTCATAGTTTATTGGTGTACGCATAATGACATATACAAATTATAACTTAAATGTTAGTCATTAAAAATTAAAAATATCATTTATTGACTTAATAAAAATTGGCAGCAAAAGCTATTAATTAAAATTACTAATACTTAATTTCTAGTTTAACACTTAATTAAAGTATTTAAAAATTCTATTACAGATTAAATTTTGTTAATTAACTAAGTTGATTTTAAGAAGTTAATGATTATTTTGTTCTATTTACCCATTCAGGGTTAGATCCAAGTGAAACGTCTAGATTTTCTGTCATGTTGAGATTTTTATAATCCTGTTATCAGTTATCTAGTTAACATTCCATTAATATATGTTTTACTGTGAATGTAATGTCGTACGATTTGCGTATAGAGGGTTCTCTTCTTTTGTCATAAGAAATACATAATTGAGTATTGTATACCCAAATCTCAATTAACTAATAATTGATTTAAAATTAATTAGGTATTATCCTGCAATGCATAACAAATAAAAAAACAATTATATTCCTAAGTAAAATAAGTATTTTTTTAAAGGATTTTATTTAGCATACATTTCAATATAAATGCTTTGCAATAAAAATATTTTATTTGAATTAAGAAATAATTTATAACTAGAAATCCTAAATTATAGTTAATCAATTGAATTTTCACTTTGAACGATTGAACTATTATGTTTTACATATTTTTTTAGTTTCAATATAAAAAGGAAAATAATATTCCTTATTGTCAAAAAAATTAAATACATATAATTAACATTAATTGAATAAACTATAAAAACTATAAATGATTATTGAAATAGTATCTTTTTTTCTTGATTCTGATAACTTAACAATATAGTTTGTTTAAAAAATTGAAAGATATTTTCTTCGACAAATATATAAATGAAAGGATCTAAATAATTTTGGATTATCAAAAATTAAGTTTTTAATTAATCAGTGTGTATTGAAATATAAGAAAATACTCAATGTAAATGCTATGCAATGTCGTAATGATTGAATAAACTAGACTTTGATTATTGTTATCAGTTATTAAAATATTTACAAATTGATTAGATTGAAACTTTATTTAAGACTCATAAATTATTTAAATGTTCATTTTACCATTTGGCTATTATATTATGTCCCTAATGTTGAAAAAAAACCAAGGTGTCGTTACCAAGTTGCCAAATGGAATATACAAATTTATCATTTTTATAATGAGTTTAGTTTTTTGACTTTTTTGATTATAATATTTAAATTATTTCATAGTGATAAATAAATACTTATTAATTGTCTATGAATGTTTTATGTACAAATATTTAACTCCAGGAAGTAAATAAATTAATACAATTAAGTATATTCATAATGTTTATGTACATGTGTATATTTATACATTATTAAAATAATTTATAACAATAACCATTATTTCCTTTTTTTAACCTTCAAATTTCCTTATTACATATTGACATATAGTAAGTACAGAAAATTTGTTATACTATACGTCTATACGTGTGTTAATTATAGATAAAGAAATAATATTTTATTTTTGTTAAATTACTTAAATGGAATTTGTAGAATTAATAACATTGTTTTTGTTAAGTGTGGTACTAACGTCTAAAAATAGTGTAAACACTAAATATATGCAGGTACATATTTACCATATTATCATATAAAATATTGATAAAATTTTATGATAATATTGCTTTTAATTTCAATATACAGGGTAAGTTAGAGGTAACTTGTTTATTGATATTACATTTATAGATACAACTAACAGATTCGTATAAAATGTTGGGTCTATAAATTTAATGTCAAAAGATCAAATTGTTTTTGTTTTAAGAACTACTGAATATTATCCAGAGGAAAGCATCATGGTTATTACCACTACCTTTTAAAGAGACTTTGCTTTTTAATTTTATTTTTATTTCATTTAATAATTTATGAAAATTTTTAATTAGGCCTATTATATGAAATGATATACTATTTAAGAATAAAATTACTATTTTCATATCGTTTAAGTAGTAAGTTATATTTGCTCTAGTTAGGAGTAAGTGTAAATAATATACATAGGTATATTTATTAATTTATATTTCGAAATTCTTATTTTTTCAGGTGTAACTTTAAGTAACTTTTGACATAGTATACGTCACACGATAATCAGATACATTAATTGTTGCTATCGGATTAAATCAGGTCGTATTGATCATAATAATCATAATATATATATATAAGTAATTATATCACTAAAATTATTAAAGATATGGGGCTAAAATTGAAATTGCACTTTTTTACTTTCTATTGCTGTGTGGCTTAACTTGAAGTTTACAACAATTAAAGACTATAAAGTACTATTTTAACCTCCGGATAGAGCTTACATTTTCCCGTATACGTACCATAATTAGCTTATGTGCTATGCTGGTTATTGCGATTTGTAATAAATGATGATATATGTCACATATCACATTTTAAAAAATTGAGTAAATAGGTATGTTAAAATTATTATTTTTAAATGGTTATGCGCTGGTTACATAAACATGTATAGATATAAATATATAATAAATATTGGAAAAGGGATTCAATAAAAGTCTTATTTGCGTCACTGGATACTGACTGATACACACTGTTATGCGCAGGACTTATTCAAAGGAATGTCTATTAATTGCGTATTCTTTTTCACCCCGTGCCATCGCTACCAAGGACTTATAATCAGTAGACGGTACAAATTCGCAATCGATGGCGCCATGTAGCAAATATTATATGTATAAACATGAAAATTGGCACAATATATATTTAAAAATATTATGTAGAACAAAAAAAAAATTATAAACAATCATCTAAATTCGTCGACTTATGAAAACGTATGTTTTATTGTATAATCAATAGTTATAAGTTGGTCCATTAAAATTAAAAATTAAGCTATAAATAAGTATTCGTGCATATTTTTCTTTTATTTGATAACTATTTGTGTTCAGTCAAATTATATTTCTACAGTAATATATATATTTTTTCATTAATACCTTATTAAACGGGCGTGGCTTGTTGATTAATTGTATTAACGGCTAAAAAAAAATATTATAATTACTAAATACTGTTAAAAATTATTATCATAACGACACATAATCGCAAAAATAATTGAACTACGTAGATATTTCACAAAAATAATTTTTACGTACCTATGTAGTAACTAGTAATATGCATGTAATCAGCATTCTAGATTTATTGAAGACAACAACAATACGCTAAATACGCCTAATATTGAGCTTAAATAAAATATTTGCAAAATAACAAAAATATAAACATATAATATATACCTAATATAGTAATACATGTTTTGTTAAATACAAGTGCAAAAATGGTTCCACAACTCACGAGAATTTATTAAAAACTACAATGAAATTATTTCTCTAAAAGGTAAAAGCTGTGATTAATTTTAAATCGTTTAAAGTTTGATGAGCTTTTTAACGTAAAAAACAGATAAGTTTATAGTCCGAAAAAATGTACCTACAATTGGTTAAATTTTGTATGAAATGCACGATAAGCATTCCTTTTAAATGTTAATATAGTGAAACGCATGAAATGTTTGATAATGGTTAAGATATAAGTACGCGTTTACCAAAAACTCACATTTATTATTGTTTAAGAGCTCTTATGCTTATTTTTTACTGTACCTTGTAGTGGCTTATTATCAAGATTAACGTAAAATGAATGTACAAGAAACGTGTTTAATCAAGTTCTACTAAAGTCTAAAATAATAAATTGTAAATTATTTGCCTGTCTGCTTTAATTAGAGCAATTGTGTAGTGTACTAATTGAAAATTAATAGTAATTCATAGTTATATTTTTCTTAAAAATATTTCTATTTAATTTTTTTATCTGATGTAGTAATATATTATTTGTTATTAAAAAAAAAAAAAAACTATAATACATATTATAACGTATAACTTGTAGACTACCTGCAATGGCTTTAGTTTAAAAAATGAATTACTTTTAAGAATTTATCCACTAAAATTGTTTATTATATACTACTCATTCAAACAGATTTTATAATAATCACCTTACTGATTAGTGATTACACTAGAGAATATTAAGCTAATACTATTACGCAAATTGGCTAAAATTCTTCAAAATTAAATTAAATTTCTTAGATGCGAGAAGGATGTTTTCTTTTCTTTTTAGTTATTATGAATTATGATATAAATTTATAAAAGTATAAATTCATGTTATTCTAATTAATAGTATTTAATTAATTTAATTTGTAAGCTTATAAAATGTATTTAAATTATCGAGTGGTTTTATTAAACTGGTCGAAAAATTCATCTGAAGCTTTAGTTTTGTACAGGACATTATTGAGATACTCTTGTTTATTTTTCTGTTCATTAGCTAAAACTAAATTGAAATCCTTTATTCCGTCTTCTAAATTTCTAAAAACAAATAAATAAATAAAATAAAATATAATTTTTGTGATTTAAAGCGTTTAATCAATAATATTATGTAGTTGTAAGTTATAACTTACAGGTTATAAGCAAGAGTATAAACTAGTATAATAATAGTATTATAGGTAATTAAAATAGTAATATATAATTAATAAATAATATTATTATTTGATAACAATTTAATTAATAAATCATATAAAAGTCTGGAAACCATTAGTTTTAATTGTTTTAAGTAATAAAATAAATGAAAATAAACATTACATCTGTGTTTTATAGTTTATATAGTATTTAAAAAAGATATTTAATGAAATTTAGTAATAAGAACTATGAATTTAAAAAATTAAAAATATGAAATATGCGTGAATAATTTTACAATGTAAAGCTTATTAAAATTCACAATGACACAATTAAATATTTAAATAGCTAGAAAAGTACCAATAAGTTGTAGGAATTATTTAAGAATTGTAGAATACAAAATAAATAGATTATTAAGTTGTGTAAAAAAAATAATATGCTTTCAAAAAATCCTATACGTCACAAAATTAAATTTTTGTAGTTATTTATAAAAAACATTCAAGACATAATTCTATTATTACCTATTTTATTATTTTTATATTATTATTATTCTCTAAAAAGATGACGTGCCAGGTGTCTAGGTAACGTGTAAACGGGAGCCTCAGCTCAAGTTATGTTCAAAAAATTACTTTATTGTTAAACATCTATTTATATCCATGAATATCTTCATAATCCCCATATAAATTCAAATTCCATGAAAATTATTATTATCTTTACTGTATTTCCCACATGTGTATTATGCCAACTATTATACTATATTATATAATATATTACATAATATTTTTATAAATGTATTTTCAATTTGTCAAATTTTGCCAAAGTAAAAATGATTATTTTATTGCCGTTCTAATTTTTTCTCTGTTCATCTTTTAAAATTTTGTAGAATATTTATCCAATTTAATTAAATTAAATATATATTATTTAATTTATATTTATACATTATATATTATTTATATTTTTAAATAGTAAACATTTTTGTTTTAACTATAAAATAGTTATTATAGAATAGTTATAATAGTTATAATAATAGTTATTATAATATTTTTTATAGATCTAACTACTAAGTATCCATGGAAATATTATTTACCTTTTTTTCTTTTGCATTTCTCTATCATTGAGTGTGCCACATCTGGCCAGTATATTTAAAAGTTCGGCCCAGTCTTTTTCTTGTTTATCGAATGCCTCTTTTCGTATCTTAAATTGTAAACGATCAATTATTTTCTGTTTATTTGTTAATGACTAATATTGATGTAACCATAGTAACATAAGAAATTTTCATGGGTGAAGGAGGTGGTGGATGATGGATAAAATATTATATTTATCTCTTGATTCCTCCGTTAGCTTTGAAATATTTTTAATTAGAAAATAAATTGAAATTAATTTAAAAATAAATAAACAATTTTCAGTTTTTCCGATATAAATCATGACAAAAGTTGAGTATGGTTATTCTAATGTAAATGTTTACACAATGTATGCTGATAAATTATTATTTTTAAATTAGTTAAATAGATATTATTTATTTAAAGGAAATAATATTGAATATCGAGTACTATTACCTAAATAAATAACTGTTTATGTGTGTTTCCCGAGTAAAATATATTGTACCTGTTTAAATTTCCATTAATAAATGATGTATAATCCGTTAAACATTAGTAATTTTAATCTATTCTAAAATGTATGCAGATAGTAGGTATACCTTAAGTTCTGCTCTTTGATTGGCTTGTTCGTCATATATAGCTTGTTTCATGGCCGGCGTTAAGCCTTTGTAGAGTGCCGTTGATATTTTTCCTGGTCCTAATGCACTGTTGAACCCGTGTTCGGGATTTTCCGTCAGAAAGTCCCCAGTAATCGCGTTGTACACTTCTGCCATTTTGTCTTCGTTGCACTCAGCTTCCATAATACTTTTATTCATTTTTTGTTCGGACGCCTAAATTTAAACAAATAATCGTTTCATGAAAGTAAATGTCGGCTGTCTAGCATTATTCTGTGTTATTCAAAAACACTCACTAGAGCTTGGTTGTATCGGTAATTTGCTTCTATCAATTTTTTCCTACACTCATTCTCCAGTGATGCAAGTGCCAGTGCTCGTTGAACTGTCGTGTGTTCGGTTTCTTGCCACGTACGTTCGACGTTTTTATTCTCTTCTCTGGTCATATTTTTTTCACGTATTTGCATTTCTAACCACACACGTTGTTGTTGTATCTGTTCTGCTTTTTGTTCTTTTGTTATGCTTTCTTCGCCCTCAAATCTTAATAAGAAATTGTTATCCTACAAATATCTTGTTTATTTGTATCATTATAATATAATAATATACGTACCGTTGAACCGACGACAATGTAATTCTCGGGTCATCGTCACCAATGCGGCTGGGCTGATTTTTTCTACATTGCAGAGGATCGTATATATCGTACTCTCTTCGTGTTTCAGGAGCTTGATATTTTTTTCTGAACTCTAATATTTCTAAATCTATTTCTTTTTGTTTCTAAGTATAAAGTTATAAAAACAAATACATTAAGGATAAAAGCCATTTAATTATTAAAATATTTTCATAAGTTAACTATGTAAATTGATAAATTGAGTTAATTTTGATAGTTCATATCCATAAAAAAATCATTTCTATATAAATAATTTTATCAAGTGTGATTTAAATGAGTTAAATGAAAATTAGTACGATTACGAATTCAACAGAAAATCTAAAAAAGGTTTGCCGAAACTAGTGTAATATTTCCTGTCACCAAAATTTTATTTATAAACATAAATGTATAATTGTTTATCAATATAAATTTTTTCGACTATTCTCTGAATTTATGTTCTACTATCTTGTTCTACTACCAAAAATCATTAATTCAATTTGCACAATTTGACACGTTTTTGTATAGTTTTATAGCTAATAGATTATTTATAATAATTTTTATATCCCCAGACTGTATTGAGTTAATACAGACCTACCGAGTTACTAATATATATATATATATATATAGTTACTTATTTGTTAGCACACAAAGTGTGATATATACAGTAAATAAATAAAAATCTTTGCACCTTATACTATGTTATTACATAATATTAGTTTAATTTTAATAATAATACCTTTATACATAAAATGTTTAAACATTTAAATACCATATGGATACAAACGTAACATTTTAAGTATTGTGCATTTCATTTTCGTGTTTCAAAATAATATTTAGGACAAGGCTACTATTGTTGGGCGTGTTAAATTTTAAAAATTACATAATTATAGGAAAAAATGTCTATTCTCCACAATTCTAAATGATATTTGATATAGAACCACTGAAGTGATAACTATGCTTACATATTGTAACTTATAATACATGGTATATACAATAATATAACACTATATTTTGTTCAGCCATATTCCCTACATATCAAAGTTTCACTTTAATGAAAGGTTTATTCACTGCATACATACTGTATCTTTTTTATCATAAAATAATTTGCTTAAAAATGAATTAACGAAAATATTTAAAAATGAATAAATTAAATTAAAATATATATATTATGTATTATAATATATGATATGTAAAAATATAAGTTAAGATTTTGAGAAGTGTTACAGCCACTTTAGTCGATACCTACAGATTATAATATGAATTAGATATTATAAGTATACGTATACATTATTAAAATATTCCGGAATGCTTCTCGTGGGAGTTGAAAAATAAAAATCTAGTTATTTATTCATACGTGATGCAAAAAACAAGTAGGTTAGAAGCAGTTAATGGTATTTAACGATATCCATTTTACTATATATAGAGTTAAGTTAACAGAATGTAAAAATACTTTAAAATACGTATTACTATACGTACACAATTCGTAAAAGTAAACATTTTTTAGAAGATACGAAGTTTAGTGATATTGCTTTGTTATTTTTTTTTTTTGAAATTTTATACCTATTAATTATCTTAAAAACTTAAAATATCGAAGTGGCATGATGTTACTTTTTTATTCTGTTCGTCTAGTTGTAATGATGTGGCACAATCTTGTAATAATTTTTTTGAATACGCTTGATGTTTCGCTTGTTCTTGCTCTCGAAGTATTTTCTTTTCTTGGACTTGTTTATCAAGAGCATCCTTATCAATCTAATCGTAAATAAATGTATACAATTATTCAAAAATTAAATTAGTGTAAGCGAATCTGGAATAACGCATGGTTAAAGTTTAAAATAAAAAATAATTTAGAAGTATTTATGATATTATATATTTTCATACTAACTTACTCCAATAGTTCTAGTAGTTGGGTTGAAAATTCGTTTTTTTCGTTCTTCATCAAAAAGTCTTGCTTTTACATGTTTAGCTACTTCAGCATGATCTTTTGGCAATGGTTTTCCTATATTTATCATATTTTTAAGTATTTTATTTAATAGTTATTTGGAGAGATAAATTAATAAGCATAGTTTGTTTAGTTTTGTTTTTGAACAAATGCAATGTATATATTTTGTACACGAATATAATACAACGTTGACTTGGCAACATAAATACGTAAGTAAATCGAATTAACTTCAGCATAACAACAAATCGTATATTCGTTTGACATCAGCATTTCCTCATAATTTATTTCATCAAACAAATAATAAAAATTTAATTTTTCAGTATTTAGTTATTATTGCTGCATTACTGATTAGTAACCTTTAAGCAAATTAAATAGGTAACTACTGCTTAAGGCCATTGAAAAAATTCGACGTGTAAAAATATATTAAAAATTATTTATATTCATAAATAAAATTACAAAACATGATTTTTTTTTTTAAATTTGTGATTCAGAAGCACGGCTGAGATACAAGACAGCCGTATACCTTTTTTTTTTTTGATTTTTATATTATGGTCAATTATGCATTTATACCCATCTGACTCAAGGCCCGCAAAATACTTAATTTGGCACTGCTATAAAGTAATTAATATTTTTACATCGGTATATTATCAAGACTAATATAGTATCATAAAATCTTAATAAAGAAAAAAATACTTATATCTAAGTATATCTGGTATATTGGGTATTTTTATTATTAGTATACATATATTATTGTGTATAATCTACACGTCTTGTATTTTTAAGCAGGTTTTTACGTTTAAAATGTGTAACTAATAGATAGATGATACATTTATGGTATCGAAAAAACAACTATAAGCAACAAATAGTTTTGAAAAAAAAGAAGATAATAAAAAATAAGTACTTAATTGTTATTCATGAACAATGTGCTTATGTACAATAATTATATTATACTAAATAGTTTTCATATTTTATATAGGTACATTGTTAAGGAATTGTATACTTTTTTTTTTTTATCAAAAAAATAGAAGCATTTATTAGAATTCGATTTGATATTATACAATTAACAAAATTTGATAATATTATATACAAGATGTGATAACATAATAAAAAGAGGCATCCATTAACGCTACTTCAAATAAAACATTTTTTTTTTTTTTTTTTAATGATTGGTTAAGTAATTCACGAGACGAGTTACGTTTAATATTTCGAGGTGAATGTCAGGAATAGTGTCGTAGGACAAATTGGAAATTTATGGGTTTAGGTGATCAAGGCCGTCCCTAGCGTCGGGTAAGTGGGGCCCCGTGGTCTCATCACAGTTGGACAGGCTTCGTTTTTATAGATACAATAAAAAAAAAATCGTTGATGAGTAAAAAAAAATATACCCTATTGCTCAATATTCAAACATTACATAGAGCTTAAAAGTATAGTTACTGAAGATTATGGCAAAATTTAATTTTTTAATAAATATTTTGAATTAATTATATTAATTATAATTAAATTTTACAAAAATTTACTATGAAATAATTTTGTACTTATTTATACATTATAATATACTTCATATAATCAAAATTACAATTTATAAATTTTGTTTCAAGTAAAATATTCATATTGAAATAGAACTTTCAACAAAAATTACCTCGAGGTGAATAAAAAAATGTACAAATATTACTTGATATAAATTATCTGTCATTTAAAATATTTACAATTATTTACATAAGAAATAAATATATGAATTTAAATAGTCAATATGCGGGTGCGCGTTTGAGATGTAGGTAGTAGGTACCTATTTGCTACCTTGTTATTTTTTCTATTATTATACTTATTCGTTGTTACCACTGCGATACCAGGGTACAAAACACACATTATTCCTAAAATATTATTAGATCGAATCATTTTCTGTTTCGTTTTTAATGTATTTAAAAAAAATTTAAGTGGCTAAATATAGGTGTTCCTATGGCCCATACGGGTAAGAGCCCAGTCAACGAATATTAAAGAAAATTTGCTCTGTTAATCCGTTACAGCAATCATTATGTATATGACAAAAACAGGTATATTATATATTTAAAAATAATTAATATATAATATATTTTAATATAGTAATATTATTCAGAGTTAATATACATAAGTTTTAATTTTGAAGCAACTTATGATTATTTTAAAATTGTGAATTTTATAATTTTAATTGCATAATTTTTTTAATACCTACATTAAATTTAAATAATATGACAACATATTTTTATATTTTTTAACTTTAGAATTTCTATGGTGGGATGTCCAAACTCGATTCCCCATTTCCTCAACCCTAGAGTGTGTAACTGATCTGCACAAAATATGTCTATTTTTAATAAATGTTAGTATTATATTATTATAGTTAAAAATTATAAATACAGCAGTGTATAATTGTTATAATTTTGAGTAGTTAAGTATAATTATTAAGCCTTATTATTGATAATCTAACCTAACCTATACCTAGGTAGCTACTGGTCAAAGTGTTGCGTCTATAGAAATGTATATTGAAGGGCACCATGATGTAGAAAAGTTAACCGAGAAGATATTATAATATTATCTTTTATATATTTTTTTAGTTCTCAACATTCTATAATCGTATACCATTATTCAACTATGGCAATATCATTGTATTCACGCGATCAGTGGTCACACTGATTATTATTATTTTTTACTTGATACAGTTGAGATAGCATAACATGGCAATTTGAAACTCGCCAACGAGTGTAGTAACTAGTAAGCGCTACTCGTGAGTCGTAGATTGTAGTCGTCAGACGTTTTAGAGCTTGTATCAATTTTCAATAAAATATCCTTTTTCTACCGATTATTTTGATCGTTTTATCGATACCTAAATTTTTCAATTAATTTCTTCTTTTTTTTTTTTTGAAACCTGCTGTCAAAACTTTAGGTACTTCCTCTCATCACGAAACACGTGCACAATTTTAGTCATAGTACTGTGACTGTCATGAAATTATTATATTACTGGAACAATAATTATTGTCAGTAATGAATTCTGTAAAAAATACAACAAAAAGGTTTGCCAGTAGAAAGTTTTACGCATTGCCCGATGATTATGTTAAAGTGACGAAACCAATACAGAAATCTGCTGACCCGGTGAAACTCATGAAATATGTGGACGAAAATATCATTGGCAAGAATTCTACATTCTCTGGACCATACGGAAGAAGAAAAGGTAATTAGCTTAGTATAATAACATTAAATTTATATTTTAAATTGTTTATTGAGTATAATCAGCTTTCTAAATTATTAATGCATTATAAATGCAACTGAAAATTATTTTCTAATGTTCTTAATAATTCTCTAAAGTCCCTTATCTTTATCCTTTAAATTTTCATTTTTTTCTCATGATATATATTTTTTAAATATTAAAAATTAATTTACCTATATTAAATACTGGTATATTGCCATGTAAGTACATCAATATCTTTTTCATCAAAGTATTCATATTAAACAGATTGCAAACGTTGATTTTCTGTCTGTCTATTATATGTGCAACTTAAAATTATAGATGTGTTCTATTTCCAACATACAGATTGATACAATGAAGCAAAAATAATTTTGTAAATACAATTTGTTATCAAGTCTACTTGAGATCAACTTTCCAACATTTTTGATTTTATGCTCCAAAATTCTGAGTGTTATATTAAAAAAAGAGAAATCAAAAAATTGACATATTTCAATTTTTGGAGAAGTTGGGGAAAGTAAATAAATTTGAGAAAGTTGATTTTACAAAAATTTGACACTAAATTTAAATCTATTTTCAGAATCTTATCGTTTCATTGTATCAATCAGTAAATTAGAAATAAGACATGTTTATAATCCTATGTTGCATGTGTATTAGACAAAGATAGAAAATCACTGTTTCCAATCCCCTTAATTGTAATTTATTGGGCTCAACATAAGCCCATTAATTTTGTATTTTTGTTTGATATAAATCAATATTGTAAATGATACATCGTGTACATTATCTTTATTTTACTATATTTTTTTGGTTTGTTAATTTTATGTAGGTACCTAATACTCAAATTTGATATAAATAACGTTGAAAAGCAAAATTATATTTTTGTATTTTACTTAAATTAATTGAAATTCTATCATGTGGAAATTTTAATTATTCAAAGTAATAATCTATTTTAAATGTTATTGGTCAAAAATTACTTATTTTGGTTGATTAAAATATTTTTTTCATTTTTAATAACAACATATTTGGATAGAAAAATAGGTATGCAAAATTAAATAGATGATTGAAGAAAATATTTATTAATTAGGTAGATAGGTAACTAGAATAAAAAAATAAATGATAATTTTTATCGATAAGAGACTTAAAGATTCTCTTCATTAAGATAATAAAATATTGAGTACATCTTATCACATTTATTTATGTGTAAATGTTATTTAGTATTAATAATTTCTTTCTGATTTTAGAGAGAAATAACATCTAGGAATAGGTACTAAAAATTTAACTTTGCTAGAAATTAAGAAACTAAAGTTCACAAATTTGTATAAAAATGTACTATTTATTATTGGTTATACTGTTTTTGTTCATGCTAGATATTATTAATGTCTATTATTCACAATTAAAGTTTAAGAAGTGGATAGATATTTATTCTAATTTTGAAGTATTAATAAATTATTGGTTCATTTTATTGTAATTATAATATTTTATAATGTATAATTCATTTTAAATGAACAGGTTATCCTATATATATTTTATCTATTTATCTGTCGCTTTAAAGTTCAAATTTTGAATGTAGGTACATTCAATTTGAAAAAGCTGTAACCCTAAAAATTTAATGCTTAAGAATTTAAATGACTAATACCTATTGCTTTAAATTATTTTAAATTGAGACTTAAAAATTTACTTTTAATCATCCATCACACTTACTAGTTTCTTTGTAAATGCAAAATATAAATGCCTAGTAGCTTACTATTTGTCATACTATCATAACATTCATATTTTATAAGTTAGATTTAATGGCTACAATGAATTATAATTTTGTGTTTAAACTTAAGATAATTTTATTCATACAAAATTAAAACTGAATTAATTTATACGATTAAACCAATTAGTATTACCT